GGCCCTCTGCTCTGCGCATGGCCCTCTGCTCTGCACCCGGCCCTCTGCTCTGCACCCGGCCCTCTGCTCTGCACATGATCCTCAGCTGTGTGTCGGACCCTCTGCTCTTCACCTGCTCCTCAGCTGTGCTCTTGACCCTATAGCTACATCTGCTTGCACTCTGATGCGTGGCTTAATGACAGTACATTTCTCTGTTGCATTGCTGGTGTTCCGCTCTCCATGGTCCTCGGCCATGCATGTGCCCTCAGCTGTGCCAGAGCCCTCAGTTTCACATAGAAAAGCTACTAACACACCGAGAAGGGCCTCCCTGGTGGCACAGCAGGTTAAAGCGCAGCACTATGCTAGCCGCAGCCACTTCAACACAAGTTCAATCCCTGGCCGAACAGGGAGCTGACCCGCATGGTGCAGCAGACCTCTCCTGTTTTGCCCCGCTGCTCCCCTCAGTAGTATTATTTTGTCAATCTGCTTGTTCTGCTCCCCACTCTGGTGAATCTTCTCATCACCCCTGCACCTCTGGCCTGTACCCAGATCTGTATGCATAAATAAATAAATGAAAAAATAACACTGAAGAAAAGGCATAAAATGAAAAATTAGTATTCCTAAAGATTAATAATTTCTTGTGAGTCCTTCTAGGGCAATGTATATACACATACAAGGCATGCATGCATGTGTATGTTATAAACAGGTTAATTAAATACTCTGCCAAGCTTTGTTCTATGTACTTTGCAATACATACCAGTACCCTTATTCTATATATAAGCAGAACATTATACATCATATTTAAGAAACTTAAGTTTACACAGCTAATAGTAGAACCAGCAGCCTTATCCTGACCACCTAACTGCAGAGCTCAGGTATACATTATATTGCTTATAAGGTCTAAGACAGTTGCATAGATCCCATGGTATGAATAGTCATGCATTAAAAATGATATTTTGATCAACGATGAACCACATACACAGTGGTGCTCCCATCAGACTGCCATGTGGCCTCGGTGGGTGGTAGTCTGCACCATCTAGATATGTCTGCTTGCACTCTGATATGTAGCTTAATGACAATATATTTCTCAGAATGTATCCCTGTCATTAAATGATACATGTCTGTATAACATGATTTGTTTTAACCAAACTTGTATTGATGAGAATCTGACATGTTGTAGTTTTTGGCTGTTCTGTGCAGTGCTGCATACTACTGTCAGATTTATACTGGTTTATCTTATGCAAAATTGTCTGCATTGGAATCATTGAGTGAAGTTTGGATACATAGCATCCCATTATCCCTTAGAATAATTCCACAGGGCTCTTCCTGGTGGCGCAGTGGGTTAAAGCACAACACTGCAAGCTAGCTACAGCCACTTCAATACAAGTTCAATCCCCTGCCCTGCCTGGGAGGTGATCCACATGGTGCAGCAGACCTCTCCTGTCTCATCCACTGCTCCCCTCAGCAGTGTACTTTGTCAGTCTGCCTGTTCTGCTTCCCACTCTGTCTCTGGGGAATCCTCTCACTACCCTTGTATCTCTGGTCTGTACCCCAGTTCTGTATGCAAAAATATCTTTAAAAAAATAATTCCAGAGATATATACACTCTGAATATTATACCTTTAAATTTTTGCCAGATTAAGTCATTGATGGTATCTCACTTTGACTTGTATCTTTTAATTAGAAGTGATGTTAACATTTTAAATGTATTAACAGAATGTATTTATTTTTCTCTGAGCTACTAGTTCTGCCTACTTTACTCTTGAGTTGTTTCTTTTTCTTCAGTAGAGATATTTTATCAAGGTATTCCTTAGTGGCTTCTGAGCCAGTGACTTTAGTGGGGGTAATTTTATTGAGAATCAGGATACAAGGTTGGTAGAAAGACTTAAACTAAGGCTCAAGGAAATTGAAAAGTTTCATAACAAAGCTCTGAGAAAAGATGATAATGCTCTAGTCATGATATAATATTGCATAATATGTTAACATTAAATGTGCATATAAGTTTATTGGGAGAAAGGAGGAAAGGATGTTGTTTCATGTTTTTAAACCCCTGGTGGCTTTGGAGTTAAGTCTCAGTATATAACTGCTAAGGCCTGAGTTTGATCCCTGGGCAGGGAGCTCACCCACATATGGCACAGTAGACCCCCTGTCTTGTGTGCTGCTCCCCTCAGCAGTGTATTTTAAGAAAATATGCCTATTCTACTCCCCACTCTTGTCTCTGGTGAATCCATTCATCTCCCCTCTCATACCCCACCTCTTTTTTTTTTTTTTTAAGATTTATTTACTTGTGCATACAAGAGCTGGGGTGTGGGTCATAAGTGTGTGTGTGGGGGGAGAGGATTCACCAGAGACAGAGTTACACCACAGTTCTTTTACACAAAAAATATCTTTAATTACATAAAACTTTTATCTACCTTTAGAAGAGGTCAGTAATATTCATTTATCCTAAATGAGCCTAAATTTCTAGTAAGAATCAGGATTTGAATTATTGGTTTCTGTATGAACACTTCTTAAGCCATGCCTCCATTTTAATGAAAATTAATTAAAAATATTAGCTTCTTCACTTCTCTTTTGCCTGCTATTTCTTTCACTTGCTTGCTCTTCTGTAGCTGTAGTTCAGTGGCAAAGTTTCTACACTGTTATTTTAAGCATCATTCTCATGCATGTTGCTCTTAGGTGCCTGTGCATGAGATGCTTCCTTCCTACTACTGTCTTACCCCTTGATGAACCAGAGACTTCTGTGAAGACCTACTCTTCCCAGCCTTTTTGCCCTTTTTAATAATAATTTTATAATCTTTGTATAATAGATTAATCCAAGGTATAGAACATACGTATAAAGTTCTCTTTTACACTGTAACGCATAAAATCCCCTTTTGTTAAAGTAAGAAAAGTCTAGAGAACTAAGGTTTCTGGTTTTCCTTTTTGGGTATGGCTTGCATACTTCTGGAGTTGTCTAAAACACACACTTAAATTATTGTAGTATACGATCGGTTGTTAATAAGTAAAGCTTTTCTTCATATTTCTGTTTAGGTGAAAAGCTTCAGGTGCTAAAAGCTAAGCTGCAGGAAGCAATGAAGCGCCGGAGGTTTGAGGAGCGCCAGAAGCGTCAAGCATTATTTAAATTAGATAATGAAGATGGATTTGAAGAGGAAGAGGAGGAGGAGGAAATGACAGATGAATCTGAGGAAGATGGAGAAGAGGAAGCTTTAGAGCAGGAAGAGGAGAAAGAAGAGGACGAGGAGGATGAAGGCAATCAGGTTTCTGACAATTATGTAATTTTGTTGCTTAGGATGAGTAGGGGAAAGAGAAAATCAGATTTGAATAAGAATCTAGTGAATATGATTGTGCATGATTTTAGGATCAAAGGTGAATACAGCTAGCTCATAGGTACTTAAATCTTAGTGCATTCAGTTCTGTTAGCACCACGAAATTCTTGTAGACCTCAGAACCATTGCCTTGGCTTCCATCTGTTCGTCTGCATACAGTAACCCAAATACGCTAATATTGAAATGACTCTAGTAATAGGCACTTTGTCCTCATTAATTTAGGTAAGCAGTTTTAAACTTGGCCAGGTTGAGGTCTGGAATAAATTCTCAGGCAAGACTGATGCCTCCCTGAGGCCCGGGTGAAGGAAGAAGAAAGCAGTGGCTGAGCTGGTTGGTCAGCTATGGCAGTCTGTTTGGTTTGAAGTCAGTAGTTCTTCAATTTCAGATTAATCAGTTAACCTCTTAGTAAAATGATAATCCAGTCTTCCTTCATAATTACGCCACAATTTAGGGAGGGTAAGAGGCAAAATAAAATAAGTACAAACATCTCTAAAAGGGTCAGGAAAATTACATGAATGATCGTGGTTAGAATGAGCTTCCTTCAGGTTCACCCTTCCAGATTTAAGCTATGACCTATAAGTAGGCTAGTAGTCTGTTTACTCTTAATTTTTTGACCTGTTTTACTTTATTTTATTTTATTTTATTTTATTTGTCTATGTGATGGTAAAGATTACAGAATTCCTCCTCAGTGGCGAAGAAATAGAAACCAAAGATGAAAAAGACATGGATAAAGAAGACATTGATGGCAGTAGTGAAGTTGGCAAGTCAGTTGGCCTCTCTGTTCCCAAACCTCTTTCCTCAGATTCTACCTTACTTCTGTTTAAAGACAACTCTTCCAAAATGGGGTAAATAATTTTCTCTAGGGAAAGATAAGATTCCCTTGGATTTACTACTGTTGTAAGAACAGAAGTAGATACAAAATTTGCCTTTTTTTTTTCTTTCCAGTTACTTTCCTAGTGAAGAAAAATCAGAAACAGATGAAAACTCGGGGAAAAGGCCTAACAAACTGGGTAAGGAGTGTCTCTTATGCAGAGCTTGATTTCTCTTTGATTCTCCAGCTTTGATACCTACCAGCTATCTGTAGGTTCCATGTATTGAGTCCCAATGGATCCTTCTCCATCTTACATGTGGCAATGAAGGGACTTAGGAATTAGAATATTTTCCTTGGTCTAGTTTTTTTAAAGCTTACATGCTGTTTCTCTATAGTTAACCATGGGCATAAAATAGGTCCCTTCTGAGTGTATGTTGATTGAGTAAATTATGGGACTTTTCTCTATAGATAGAAGGAAGATGTATAAGTGATTGGATAATGGAGAGGAGAGCTCAAGAGAGACAGGAAACTTAGTGTCACTTAGCTCAGGGGATAAACCCTGATTGTCTAATACTGTGTTACTATTGTAATACACTTTCAACTTGATGTCTTGGAACATTTAACTTGAAAGGTTTGTCTTTGAATGTTACTTGACAATTTCATTCTCAACTCTTTTTCTTGAATAAATCCACCCTGTTTCTGGAATCATGTTTTTAAAAGTTACTTCTCTTTTTTCAGATGAAGATGATTCATGTTCATTGCTAACAAAAGAGAGCAGCCACAATAGCAGCTTTGAGCTGATTGGCTCCACAATTCCATCTTATCAACCTTGTAACAGACAAACAGGCCGTGGAAACAGTATTTTCCCTACAGCAGGAGGATTCAGATCTCCTTCCCCTGGGCTATTTAGAGCCAGTTTGGTCAGCTCAGCTTCTAAGGTAATATGGTAATGGTTTTCTAATCTCCTCCCCCTTTTGCTTCCCACATCGCTAAATAAAGTTTGTCCAAGCCGCCAACTCCTACCACACTGTATATGTTCAGTTTAAAAAATCCACCCCCTTTGTGTATTAAAAACAAACCTTATTCGGTATTCTTACTTACTTGGAGATTTTTTTTTTTCTTTATGCTTCTCTTTGCTATGCATTGTCCTTCTCAATTGCAGTTGCCTGAGAGTAGATGAAATACTGCAAATAGCAACTTCTGTTGTTGTCATGATAGTGAATGACATTTGTAAAATGTTTTGTTTTTGTTTGGTTTTGTTTTGGTGCCAGAGTTCAGGAAAGCTGTCTGAGCCTTCGCTTCCCATAGAGGATTCCCAGGATCTGTATAACGCCTCCCCAGAGCCTAAGACACTTTTCCTAGGAGCAGAAGACTTCCAGTTCTGTTTAGAAGATGACACTCAGAGCCAACTGTTGGATGCAGATGGGTAGGTAGTTTTATGTTTCTGTGGGTGGAATGGTGCTGGGTACTGCTTAATTTTGTTTAAAAATAAAGTGAGCTTCTGTCACTCCATCTGTGCCTTCTCTTCTGAGAAAGAGAAGGTGTACAGACCATTAGTATTACATTTTACAAGTTTGAACAAAGTCTCTCCACAAAATAAAATGTAAATAGCTCTTGCTGGTGTTCCGATCCTTCACTCTGCCTTATTTGAAATGCATAGTTCTTGTAAGGCATCAAATGTCCCTGTATCCACTTTACTATGTTTTGATTGTTGAGTAGGACTAAGAATTGGCAAAACTGTGGTATATTACATAGGCCTAACAACAAGCCCTGCTCTGGCATCATCTGAACGCAAAAGTTATCCTTCTACCCTTTACTTTTGAACAGCATTTATTCTTTCTTAAAACTTCCCACCCCACTTTAGATTATCACAGGCTAAAGTTTGAATCTTTCGTCTTCTGGTTTGGTATTCAGCTTTGACCTTTGGTAGTAGAAATGAATTTAGGGTTTTTCATACATTTCTGTTTTTCATAGAGAATTCCTTACATTCTTCGTTGTGCTTGTAGGTTCTTAAATGTTAGAAACCACAGGAACCAGTACCAGGTTTTAAAGCCCCGACTACCACTAGCCAGTATGGATGAAAATGCCATGGATGCTAACATGGATGAACTGTTGGATTTGTGTACTGGAAAGTTCACATCTCAGGCTGAAAAACCCCTGCCTAGCAAGAGTGACAAGAAAGAGAATATGGAAGAACTTCTGAATCTTTGTTCAGGAAAATTCACTTCTCAGGGTAAATATCCAACAGAGAGCATCAGGCTCACCGTGGCTAAGTATCTTAAGTCACCGTCCTTGAAAAGAAGCCCCTGACTCTGCGGTGATAAGTTCACAGGAAATGGAATCTCACATGTAGCTTGAACTTACTATTTGATTCTTGATATTAAAACTATAAAGTGTTAGCTTAATAGATGGTTATAGGTCTATTATGGTTAATAGATATTGAAAGTTTAGAACAGTGTTTGGTGTATTATAAATTTCATATAAATGCTAACCATTTCCAACTGCATGCCCCCTTCTTCTTCCCACACCCTTTCTAGAATGGGATGTTTTGTGCGCTACTGATTCTCAGGTGCCTGGCCTATAGTAAGAACAAATAAGGATTTGTTGAATGAATGGATGGTGAGCTCTTTTTGGAAGCTCACCTTAGAATTCTTTTGAGCTGGTTTATCTATTGATTGCTGGGAAGAGAGAATAAAACTATCATTCCCTGGTGACAAATCTTTTTATTTGTTGGTGATGTGGATGCCTCCATTCTAGTTCCATCAGAGTTAAATAATCAAGAGACAGTGGGCAGCATGGGTGACCCAATGGAAGAAGCACTTGCTCTCTGCTCTGGCTCGTTTCCAACAGACAGGTGAGTCTCAGTGATTGGTGGACACTTGGTGTTGTCTGGTCTCCTGATAAAATGCCGGGGTCAGGTTTTCTGGGTTTAATTGGTCATCTAGGGAGCTCGTATTCTTTCTCAGAGTCCTACGGTGGTTCTGAGTCTCATATTTGCATAGCAGGGAAATTATAATGCTTTCACTTAGTTGTTGGACAACAGGATAAAAATGACAAGGATAAGCACAGAAAAGATGCTCAGTATCACTGATAATTAGGGATGCAAATCAAAACCACAAAAAGATACTGTCACACCCACTAGGGTGGTGGCTACTGTCAAAAGCCAGAAAGTAGGTGTTGAAGAGGATGTGGAGAAATTGGAACCCTTGTGCACAGCTGGTGGGAAAGTAACATGGTGAGACTGCTGTGGAAATCAGGATGGCAATTCCTCAGAAATTTAAAAATAGAATTAGTATTCAATCTAGCAATTCTACTTTTAGGTATATACCCAAAAGAAGTGAAAATAGGACTTAATTAAAATTATTCATATGCTCATGTTCAATTAAGTATCATTTATAATAATAGTAAAAGATAGAAGCATTCCAAATGGATAAATGTGTTGTGTGTGTATGTATTTGTTTGTATATGTATATGTACACATCCACGGGAATGCTACTGTGTCTTACAAAGGAAATAAATTCTGACACATACTACAACATAATGAGGACATTATGTTAAGTGAAATAAGCTGATCGCAAAATACAAATGATTTCACTTATGCCAGGTTCTTAGAGTAGTCAAATTCACAGAAATAGAATTTGACTATATGAAACAAAAGTTTCCATTTTACAATATGAAAAGAGTGCTGGGCATGGGTTGTGCAACACTGTGAATGTACCTAACACTATGGAATTGTATACTAAAGAATGGTTAAGGTGATAAGTGTGGTGTGTATATTTTAGCAGCACATAAAAAAATTATTTTAAACATAGGATACCTGATTTCCTATTTCATGAAACAATTATTGGTGCTAATAAAACATTTTCAGTTCTTAAGCTGATCAATTGCTTATAGTTCGCTTACAGTCATTTATTTGTTACTTGTTGACATGCATTTCAGAGAAGATGATGGTGAAGAGGAGGAATTTGGAGACTTTCGACTTGTCCCAAATGATAATGAGTTTGATAGTAATGAGGTGAGTTTGAAGGGAACAAAGTAACCATATTGAACTCCAGGTATTGTGACTATATATTTTTTCCTACTCTGAGTTCTGAGAATTCTAAGTTTGGCATCTTAACAGAATCAATTTCTTAGAGTGAGATGTTTAGGCAGATGTTTATACATCCTGCTTTGTGGAGGGTGCATTTTATTCTGATTGAGTGTGATGTTACGATTTTGCAGGATGAACACAGTGATTCTGATAATGAAGACGTAGCTTTGGGAGATCTTGAAGATGATGAGGAAGAGCTCATGAAGCAATCTGAGAAGTTGAAAAGACAAATGTAGGTGTTATATCAATTGCTAGAAAGTTCTAATAGTTGAGTTCTAGTTTGCCAGCTTTTTTTTTTTTTTTAAAGATTTATTTATTTAATCATACAGAACTGGGCACAGGTGAGAGTTGCGGGAGTGGTGAGAGAGGATTTGCCAGAGACAGAGTGAGGAGCAGAACAGGCAGGTCATCGAAGTACACTGCTGAGGGGAGCAGCGGGCGGGTCAGGAGAGGTCTGCCACGCCATGTGGGTCACCTCCGGGGCAGGCGGGGATCGAACTCGTGCGGAAGTGGCTTTAGCTTCTCAGCGCAGTGCTTTAACCTGCTCCGCCACCAGGGAGGGCCCTTGCCAGCTTTTTTAACTTCAGTTTGTGGGTTCTGATTTTGCTTTTTTGTAGTTAACATAATTAAATAAAATCTTTTCATTTGACATCTCTTGAATATTAAAAATGATCATGTCTTCGAGTGATTTCTAGAGGAAATGCCTCTGGTTCCTTAGCTGTTTCTCACATGAAATTCCTTTCAGACTGCTTGAGTGCTGGATGTTCTCTTCATCTCCAGGTGCTGTGGCTACTATATGTAGAGGCACAGCACGCCTCATTCTGGATGCATACTAACACAGCAGTCAAAACCTGTGAGCGCTGAGTCACTCTAGTAAAACTAGGATTCCCTGGGTCTTTTTTTCCTATGATTACTGTTTTTCCAGGTTTTCCTTATCCTGGTTTTGGCCTATGATGACCCCCTTATGTTTTGTTACTGTCCTGATCAGAGTCTGACCATTTACTTCAGAATATTTAAAGGAATACAGAAAAATACCAACAAAAATTCCTTCCATGTTCTCTATCCAGAATATTTGTGAAAGTGTTGATGGTTAAATTGCCTTGTAACTTTATGCATGTATTTTTACATTGTTGAGAGCTGTAGTTTCTTTTGTATGTAAAATTTTGCATCTTGCTTTTTTCCCAGTTAAAATATCCACAGATTTTTTTCCGTGGAGTTACAAGTTTTGTAAGGATATTTAAGTTGACATTCAATATTATATTGTACATGGATGACTTAGAATTCACATATATATATTGATCCCTGTTAGATATTGTTTTAAGCCCATCATTCCATTTTTTAAGATTCGTTTGGGGTTCTAATTTGCCACCTGTCAGATTAACTCATGCAGCTTTGAGCCATCTTTAACTTTTTCTAAGTTAATGGTCCTTAAACCTTATTTAACTGTGGAATCATTTGTTTAAATGAAATCTTATGAAGACTGACAGCTGAAAGTTGAACTAGTCCAAGAGTAGATGAGGAGATTAGGAAAATTAGTGGCTGGTAAGCCCTAAGGAAATCTCAGGATTTAAAGGAACTTAGCTTTTAAATAATTAACATGTCTTTGATAAAAATAAGCCTTCAGACGGCCAACAAACTTCTGCCACTTATGTCCATATGTAATAGGACTCTGAACCCAAGGTGACAGTAGATTTATTTCCAATAAATAAGAGAACTGAAAAACTACTAATTGTTTTGATAACCAAGAACCACTAACACTAAAGCCCAGTCATGTCTCTTAGTTGTTTACTTTTTAATTCTCAGCTCCTTTGAGTGTATGTTGACAGAAACAATAGTAGCCCCTGCTGAGGTAATGTGGTGGTGCCCATAAAGCACAGGTGTTGGCATACAAGATATATTAAGTGACAGTCTTGACTACTTGTTATAAATTTAACCTCATTATTGTTCTTAGAGGTGCTGTGTTTTACTTTTCTTATTGTTTCTATATTCTCTGTGTGTATTCATTGTTGGCATTTTCTAATCTTCAAAATTATTTTCCAGGAGATTGAAGAAATATCTGGAAGATGAGGCCGAGGTGTCAGGGAGCGACATAGGAAGTGAAGATGAGTATGATGGGGAAGACATTGATGAATATGAAGAGGATGTCATTGATGAAGTACTTCCTTCTGATGAGGAACTGCAAAGTCAAATCAAAAAAATACACATGTCAGTATCCCAGCAAGCCGGTATGTCTTCAGGCAGCTGTCTAACCAGCCATAGTCCTGGTTGTGAACACCTTAATTTTCCTGTTGTAGGAAAACAATGTTGGATGATGATAAGCGACAGCTACGTTTATACCAAGAGAGATACCTTGCTGATGGAGATCTGCACAGCGATGGCCCTGGGCGAATGAGGAAGTTTCGATGGAAAAACATAGGTACTGTGGTTGTTGTAAAAGCATATATGCATTACAATTGAGATGAAAAAAAAATGTGAAAAATGATGTAAAAATAAACTTTTTAATAAAAAAAAAAAAGCATATATGCCAGTTTTATATAGAAGCAACTGGTGGACTATATCAGTCTAAGCAGAAATTAAAACTATAGCTGGCTATTGTGGAGGGTCTGGTTGTGTGACTATTTTCTATTAGTGAGTGGTAAGTTTGTGTTAGTATCTGTCAGGGCATATCCTCTGGGAATTATGGAATGCTGATCGCCTTAACTCTTTGCTTTAGATGATGCTTCCCAGATGGACTTGTTCCACAGAGACTCTGATGATGATCAGATTGAAGAACAACTTGACGAGACAGAAGCCAGATGGAGAAAAGAGAGAATTGAACGAGAACAATGGCTACGGGACCAAGTAGGAACTATGCAGGAAATTCACCTGTTTTGACCCTAGTGTATGAGGAAAGGATCCAGTCCCCTATCTTGTCCTGACAGTTCCAAAATCTTGAGCAGCGGATTGATTGCTGTCCTTGTAGTCCTTCCCTTTTCTTTTGTGCTTTGAGGTTACCATGAGCAATTCTCTTCATATTTGTCTGTCTAAAAGCAATCTTTTTTGTCTAAAGAGAAACAAAGGCCCTCCTGTTGGTGTGGGGGTTGAGTCTCAGCTCTGTAAAGCTGTCCACAGCCACTACAGCATGAGTTCCATCCCTGGCCAAGGAGGTGACCCATATAGGGCAACAGACCTCTCCTTTCTCGCTTCTGCCCCCCCTCAGCAGTGTATTTCAGTAGATCTGCCTGTTCTGTGCCCCACTCTGTCTCTGGTGAATCCTCTCACCCCCAACACCTCTGGCCTGTATCTCTTTTAAAAAAAGAGAGAAACAAGTGAAGTCACAGGTACCCTAGCTTCACAATCCAGGCCCTGCTAATTATTTAGGAGCACAAAGGACTCCTGTTAAAGTGTCTGATTTTTATTTTCAGGCACAGCAGGGGAAAATTGCAGCTGAAGAAGAAGAAATTGGGGAAGAAAGTCAGTTTATGATGCTGGCCAAGAAAGTTACTGCCAAAGCACTACAGAACAATGGTGAGCACTTGCTTCTCCCCAAGGACTGGCTTCCTCAACTGTTAGTGCTGGAGTCTTGCAGGCAACTCGAACTTCAGGGTTGTTCACCTTACTTATGGACATGTGTCTAACACTATCTTAAAGTGGTCCCTCAGATGGGGGGAGAGGCAGTGTTTGCAGATCCTAGATTGTTGGGCAGTGGAAGTTGTATTTGTGAGACTGTTTAACAGGTTTTTCCTGTATGTTCTAAGGAAGCTCAGTATGAATTCCAGTGTCATTATTTAGTCACTAAGGATTACATACCTATGTGTTAAAGATGGGATTTGAACCCAGATTTATCTAACTGCAGAGCCTAAGCTCTTAAACACTATTTCACTCTTCGCATGCTTATTTTTTATTACTGTTAATGATTAGTCAATAAGTTCAACCTGGTTATTTCTTTTATTATCATTCCAAGTCAACATTAAAAATAATGAGAGTTCGTTCCTGTAGCTTTTTTAGTTTAGTTTATTGGTTTAGTCAAAGTCTTCTTTGTTTGTTTGGATTTAAAAGCAATTCTATCCAGCTTTGCCCAGAAAAAGTGTCTCTATTTTTTTCTTTTTAGTCAATCGCACCATTGTTGTTCAAGAATCAAAGTCTTTACTTAGAGATCCTTTTGAAGCCATTGGCCCAGGAAGTACCAGCCAGGTTGGTTGGGGACCTTGTTAGCCTGGTGTCTTGATCCTCAGATGAAGGCCCAGGTCAAGCTAAGGGAATACCGTATCGTTGGGGAGGGAGGTTGCTGTAGGAATTGGAAGATGTCAAGGGATTCTGCTGATTACTTTCCTCTTGAGTAGGGCAGGGATATGTACCTGCACTACACTGCAGGGGAGAAGGACTTCTCTTTCCACACACTTAGAATTTGATACCATGTGACTCTTCTTTCCTTAGATTAAGACAGGCTCTCTGCTAAATCAGCCCAAAGCTGTGCTTCAGAAACTGGCTGCCCTCTCTGATCTCAACCCCACTGCTCCCCGAAATTCAAGAAACTTTGTCTTCCATACAATTTCTCCTGTCAAGACTGAGACAGCAAAGGAATCATTGAAGCCTCAGGTAGGAAACTTGAGAGCTCAGTTGGTGCTCTCCAAACCAGAATTAAAGTATTTTTTAATTTAAAAGAAGTATGTGTGTGTGCTGTAGCTTTATTCCTGCCCTGGGAACATACAGGGGGATTGTTACCCCTAGTCGGTAACAGCTCTGAAACTTGCCTGGGAAGTTCATATTTCTTTTCTTTGTTTCTGTTGTTAATTGTCTATGATTTAACTATGAGTGATGAAGAGCTAATTTACTCTAAGTTCTCTTCTGAGAGGTTTGAGCTCACCCTGACTCTCTGCTCTCTAGGTGAGGAAAAGGGGTCCATCTTTCATGACAACGCCTTCACCTAAGTGCCCCAAAACAGACGAGAGTACTCCTGGATTGAAACGAAGCATCTTCAAATTCTTGGAAAGCTAACACCAGCAAGGGTGCCTGCTGCTGTTGAAACTGCTTTGAGACGTTTCTGGCATTGAAGGTGGAATAATGCCCATGTGGGTGACCCCCTTCTTTCATAATCAGTGCATTAAGATTACAGACTGGATTTTGGTTCTTTGCATGGCTCTGGACAGCTCTCTCCTTTCTATTACTGTTTCCTGGGTTAGCTACTCGTCTTAACCCCTCAGTTAAGATTAATCTTTGCTCTACAACATCATAGATACTTGGATAAAGTCTCATTTCCTCCATTAAATATTAGACACTGATCCTAGCAGCTTCCTGGGTTGATACCACTTTGTGATTGGGGTGGTTGAAGGAGGGGAAAATGGTGAATTGCAGAAGATGATAGAAAGCTGTGACTATCATTACCAGGATGACTTCTTCCCACCTTAAGGTCTGTACCACCGTGACCAGGGCTCAATGAAAGGCTCCCTAGATGGGCCCTAGAACCAGCTAGTCCGCCCCTTCCATTTTCCTATCTTCCTCTTTCCAAGGCAGTCTCAAATTTCAGAGTAACCTTTGCTTCCTTTATAATAGGACTCAAAGAATTACCCAAGTCAAAAAGACTTTGGCCCTAATTTTCTGGAGTGTGGTGGTTGCACCCAGTGTGTGTCCACCGGATATAGCCCTGGGCAGGCCCCTCTGTCCTGGGACTGAACTCTCATTTTAGTGTCGTTCAAGGACCCTTTCCCTTTAGAAGAGGAAATAAAAGCATTATTTATTGCATTCAACTGGGTGAGTACATTGCCCTGACCCTGCAGAGGATAATTTTATACTTTATTACCTGTTTTGAGAGAAGATCAGACCATCATGGATTACAACCAAAATATTGTTGAAGCAAATTGCCACCACTACTGATTTCCCCTGAACTGCCATGACACATATTTTTTCTCTCAGAACTGAGCGACACTACTGCTTTGGAAAAACATTGGTTTCATTGTCAAGAACTCGACAATGGGTGAATTGGATGAACTGTGCCAGTTTTTTATTGGTAGATGGAGAACACCAATTCAATGGAATTAGGATGTAGTTTTCTGTAGTTTCTAATATACAAGATGCTGACTTTGACAGAATTCATGTTTGTATATTTGTAATTTTGCAATGGGAAAAATGTATATAAAGATATTTTAATATGTGTGTATTTTTCAATAAACTTCATGCCATGAAGGCAGGATTTACTGTTCAGACTGAAGGCTGAGTCTTAGGTCAGCGTCTGTTTAGTGTTAAACATGTTTTCAAGCTACCTCCTTCCCAGGGAAGCCCTCTGGGCCTGGAATGAGGCACTCTGAGGTGATCGCAAAGTGGTTTGTGTTCAGTGCAGGTGTAGAGAGTATGTATACATGGTACCACCTGTTACAGCCCTTTCGTTGGCAGCCCTGGTCCAGGGTGAGTTACTGTCCCTCCCTTTGTGCCATCTAAATAGTACCCAAGGCCGGGTAACCCTTGCTGAACAAAAGAGAACTGGGAAGCAGGGCGAGGTGTTTCTCCTTGCTTTCCCATATCACCGTGAGGCAGAGAGAAGAGGCGAGGGAGGAGATAGAGAAGATGGAAGGGATCACTGAGGGTAAAGAAAATCAATGCCTGAGGAATCTGGGGAACAAAAATTCTGTTCTAGGCTCCAGAAAGAAAAGTTGAGCTGTAAGCCCTGGGTCACTTTTCCTTATAACAATGTATCATAAAGCAGGCTAAGCCTTGACTTTGGTGTAACAATTGAAGTAGAGTTGTGACAGCTACATATTCATGAAACTGAAGCCCCAGGGCCTGGCTTCCAACTCCCCTAATTTAGAAATTCCCCCTTTCAACTCCCCTGATTTAGAAATTCTTTATGTAGAAGGATGAGAATCTGGGACTCTGGGAGGCAGAGTATGCTCAGTGACAGTTTTCTTGACTCCACCTTGTTCTGCGCACTGAGATAGGGACACGTGGTATTTACTTCATTTAAACTGGACTCTGATCTCACTTACTCAGCCCACAGCTGCCAAGCTACACCAGGGTCTGCACCACAGAGCGTCAGGTTACATTCACAAAAGCACGTGGAGATGGCGCTCGGCCGCCTGTGCCATCCCTCTCAGCTGCCTCGCTACAGCCTTCTCCCCGCTTTGAGAATTTCTAAGGGCTGGGCCTTTCTGGTTTGTATCTCCAGTTGTATCTAGCACCTCTTGGTGCCCCTGTCCTGAGACGTGTGCATCGAGGGGCTGGGAGAGTATTTCTGGAAGTAATGTTATGATGCTATCTGGTTATATCATCCTTGAAAGCATTTGTCTCCTACTTTGTATCCTATTTGCTGCCTGGAACATGGCCTGAAATGTGCGTTGCCCAATAAAGTTGAATGAATTTACCATACCTTTCAGAGCCTCTTTTTATATCTATAAAATGAGGCTTGTCATTCACGCCTGTCTCAGATTTGCTGGGAGGGTTAGGTTAGAAGATGTATGCGACCACATCATGTCAAGTACTCTGCAAGCATAAGAAATTGTCAGTGGGCCCTCCATAGTGGCACAACAGGTAAAAGCGCAGCACTGTGAAGCTGGCCACAGCTACTTCAATATATGATCCCGGCTAGAGAGTTGACCCATATGGGGCAGCAGATCTCTCCCGTCTCGCCCGCTGCGCCCCTCAGCAGTGGAATCCTCTCACCACTCCTGCACCTCTGGCCTGTACCCCAGTTCTGTATGCATAAATACATTTTAAAAAATTGCTGGTGTTGCTGTTCTGTATGCATAAATAAATTTTAAAAAATTGCTTTGTCAAAACTCCTAAAGACCTCTTGTCTCAAAACTTCTCAAACTTAACATCTTTTAAAATGTCATCTTCCTCCCCTAAATAGCTGTATTTCTTGAGTTTCCCATACCTCCATATGCCCATCACTGGCTGGAAATCTGAAGGGCTTTCCTGACACTGCTTTCCTGACTCCAATAACCAAACAATCTAAAAACCTCCAAATCACATCCTGACTCAGCTTCTTCCAGCTTCATAGATAATACCCTTCTCCAAAATTGGGTGCCGCACAACCTCCTGATTACCCACTCCTATTTTTACTTCCCTTCCTTAACAATCATGCCCAGCACGAGAGGGTGCCCTTTGTATGAACATAAACTGCAGTATGATCATAAACTTCTCTTGAGAACTTTCAGTGTGTTCCATTGCACCTGGAATTAAACTCAAACTTCTTACCACCTACAAACCCTCCACGATACAGCCAGGCATCACTTAACAGTGGGCGTGCATTCTGAAAAAGACGCTGTTAGGTCATTATGTTCTGGAAGGCAGCTATGCTCACCACTATACCACCAGCGCCATACTAGGTGATTTTGTCTTGCGGTGAAAAACCCAGATGGTAGAGACTGCCACAAACCTAGGCTGCAGGGCCTGCTGTTCTGTACGGTCCCCAACAAGTGCACAGTCCTAGCACCACCTCCCAACCTCTAATGCCCTCTGTATTCACTTCACCTTAACGCCAGCGTCTTCTAAAATGCCCTTCCATTTTCCTAGACTGCCCTTCCCTCCACTATCTCCCTTATGAGGCTAATATATAATTCCCCATGTGTCATCTTAAAGTTGACTTCTTTGAAAATGCCTACCATGGTCACCCCCCCCTTTTTTTCTTTTTAAAGATTTATTTATTTATGCATACAAGAACTGGGGTACAGGTCAGAGGTGCAGGGGTGGTGAGAGGATTCACCAGAGACAGTGGGGAGCAGAACAGGCAGATTGATGAAGTACACTGCTGAAGGGAGCAGTGGGCCAGACGGGAGAGGTCTGCCCCACCATGTGGGTCACTTCCGTGGCCGGAAACTCATACTACAGTGGCTGAGGCTAGCTTCATAGTGTTGTGCTTTTAACCCTTTGTGCCACCAGAGAGGGCCCATCACAACCTTTTAAATTACTTCTATTAGTTTCTAATTCTTTTCTTCTGGATCTCTTATCACAATCTGCCACTTTAGTGTTTGCTTAGGTCTACCTTCCCAGTTAGATTAAATTCTGTGAAAGCAGAGATCATGTCTATTTTGTTAAAGATTTTTATTTTGGGGCCTCCCTGGGAGCTCAAGGAGTTACAGCACAGCACTATGAAGCTATCCCCAGCCACTGCAGCATGAATTTGATCCCCAGCCAGGGAGCTGACCCACATGGTGCAGCAGACCTCTCTTGTTTTACCTGCTGCTCCCCTCAATAATGTATTTCAGTCAACCCACCTGTTCTGTGCCCACTCTGAATCTGGTCAATCATCTTTACCCCACCCCACCTAGTACCTCTAGATTGTATCCCAGTTCTTATAAGTATAAATCAATAAATCTTTTTTGTTTGTTTGTTTAAATGCATAGGGCCCTATCTGGTGATGCAACAGGTTAGGGTGTAACACTGAAGCTTGGCAGAGCCACTTCAGTGCGAGTTTGAGCCCTGGCTAGGGATGTGACCCAATGGCACAGCAACCTCCTGACCTGCCCGCTGCACCCCTCAGCCGTGTACTTTGTTGATCTGCCTGTTCTGCTCCCCCCTCTGCCTCTGGTGAATCCTTTCACCACGTCTGCACCTCTGGCCTATACCCCAGTTCTGTATGTATAAATAAATAAATCTCTTAAAAAATGTATACTTTGGGAGGCTCTTTGCCTGTAACATAGAATTGGCCAATAAATAATTACTAAACAAGTGGTTTGAGGCCTGGAAGATTTAATGGTGAAAAGCATGGAGCTTAACTGCTTGCAAAGCAGCTTTCTAGTGTGGGATAGGAGAGAGGTCGTGGTCATATGAGACCCGCTTACTCTGAGAAGTCCAAGCGGCATGACTTAAGTTATTCTCTGAACATTTTTCAACTAGAAACAAGCTAAAATAAAATGGCTTGGTTTAGCTCACAGTGTTATGGTTAAGAACTATGGTATACATTAATGTGAAGTGATAGGGGCTGTGCTGTTGCTTGTTAACTCCTGCTGAGGAAGGGCTGGGGCTGATGCCTCCTTATGGTCTGGCTGTGTGGGAAGGAGAGGCCACCAGCCCACAGACTGTCCTAGAACCAGCGGTGGCTAGCTCTGTGCTGGGA